TAAAGACCAAATCCTTTTAGCACGCTGTTGATAGATCAGTTTGTACATTTTTTAGCGTGCGCAGTGAAATAGCTCACGTTTTTATACACGCAAACCTTTGATAGATCCGGCCCATAATCTTTCTGTTTTTAATTTGTTAAAAATGTTTAGAATATCCAATAAATTTTGCTCTACTTCATGATTATTTCCCACTTCTTGATTCTTCACAAAGAATCACAATTTTCTTAATGTTTGAAGCCCAAAATGTGGCAAAAGGTCAAAGTTCAAGGGGGGCGAATACTGTTGCAACTGTTCCAGCTGTGTGACGTAATCAGTCTGATGTGAAACAGATTAGAGCACAAAGCTCTAAAATACCTTAGAGGCTGTGTATAGATATTTAGATGAATGACAGGAAATTATTCATGATATAAAACTTTCTAAATATCAGTTAAATAATCATTTAAATTTTGTTTCAAATGTTAAAATTAAATCCTTTTCTTTAAGATGTTTAAAAAGGCTCAAGTACTACAGGATTTTTTAAATTATAATAATAATAAATATTATAAATGATTCAGATTCATAAAGATGTAAATCCTCCGGGTTTGGTTTGGTTTTAGCAGTAGCGTTGCACAATGGGGGGAAATCTATTATTGCAATATCAATGTACAGAATAAACACAGTATATTTGAATCTGAAAAACTCACAAGGAGAGAAAAGACAATTAGAAGAAATGTATTAATACAATTACTTAGTCTTTGGCGCTCAGACCTCGGCAGGAAACATAGCGCTGAATTTTGATAGATATGCATGAACAGGAGCAAAGAATAGGGCTGTCCTGTTGAAAGAACCTGTCCATGATGAGCAAGCATGAAGCGACGGTGGAGAGGAAAAACTCCCCATTGGGAAGAAACCTCTGGCAGAACCAGGCTCAACATGGCGGTCTTCTGCCGGATCAGTTAAGATGAGATAGGGAACGCAGTGAGAGTCCGGGAGGAATGACACTCTGATGAAGCTTTAGCTACGATGGTGGAGGAGGGGCTGGAGGTGGGTTGAAATGGGGTCATCTGAATGAAGTCACGTGGCGCCACCACCGCCTGCGCACTAGGTAGCAGACGAGTTGCAAATCGGAGCCCTTTTAAGATGAACTTTGGATGCTGATTGGCTTTTGTGGAGGCGTGGTTCAAAGCTGGCGGAAGAAGGCGAGTAATCAGTTTTTTCAGTTAAACTTCCGCCTAGGCTCCATTTAGGTGATGGACACAGGAGATACTATTGATGGTTGTTGCTTAATGCAGCATAAACGGTTTCATCACATAGTAAGACACTGAAATCATCAGAAACTAATGTTTCCAAACTATTTAAACTTTTGCAAGAAATCAAAGAGTTAAATTTTAATAATTGCTACTTTTAAAGCAGAAATTACACAATTTATTTCCAACTGCAAATTTCCTTAAAAGAAATCTTGCTGATTTGTTTACTACAACCAATTAAATTCTACTAGTTTATCCAGCGTATAAATAAAAGGCTCTAGATGGGATTAGACCGGTGAGTAAATAAGAAATAAACTTGTCTCCAAGTTTATTTACAGGTATTTGTTTAATAAACACTGAACAAGTGGCTGTTTGAAGGTTTGGAAAAACAAATTCTCAGAAAGGTTTATTACAATCTCTATAAACAGTTTAATAAGAGCTGCCAAATGCCCAATAAGCAGTTTTTTAATTTTTTGCTTTCCATCAGGTTGAACTGGGACTGGGGGCCCAACATTTGATTTGGGGCCCCATATCCTAGATCAGCTCAGATTATAAGTAGTAGCCCTTTTACTACCTAGCAGATCTGATCTCTTCCAATGAGGGGCAGCCATGGCCGGCATGCAAAGCACAGAAAGGGCGTGTTTCATTCAGTGCGTCTGTTCAGGCACTCTGAGCGCTCCTGGCTGGAGTTCAGGTTTCGGGAGCGGCACATTCCTCATCCTGGGATTTAACTCTACCATAAATGGTAAGCTTGCACATAACAGGGTGACGCAAAGGCAGAGCTGACATCCCCTGGAAACAAAAAAACTCTGGTGAGAGGGGCGAAATGGGAAGAGGAGCCTCTCTGCTCTACCTTCAAAGCACTTTTTTCATAAAAAAAAAATAAGTTATCCAACATTTAAAGCTATTTTCTTAGTCCTTAAAGCTTTTTTTATGTGAGAAGCACTGGTGCATAAATGCACTTAATAAATAATGATGCTCAAACATGGACTACTTTTTTGTGTTTGTGCAGATTATAGATGATTTAAGGGGCAAAATCATTTAAAGCTCCTCAGTTAAGGCATCAAAAGCTATTGTATAGTAAAATACATTCGGTGCTGCCATTATTTATTTTAACTGTTTTATTATTTTGTAGTTATTCGTTTCAAAACCAATACAGACAAAGATAGGTGTCATGTTACCGGTGGTGTGTGGATTTATGCTGAGTGGGAGCACCCATCTGTCTAATAAACGATCTGTGCAGTGCAGGTTATCAGCGTGGAGGAAAACTTCTGAAACTATTCGTCCAATTGTAGCCGGAGGCTCCGCCCACCCCTCCGCTGCTGCTCAGCCTCAAATCACCGACCGCTCCTGTCAGAAGCAGCAGGAACCGAGCCAGGGGACCGTGGTTGGTCAGTGAACGCCTAAAGCTACCTAATTTAGCCTGCCGCTATGCCGCCTGTCCGGGTAGTGATGCAGGGTCCCGGCCCGTGGGGGTTCCGGCTGGTTGGGGGTAAAGACTTCGAACAGCCGCTGGCCATTTCCCGGGTAAGTTTGCTTTTATCTCCTCTCCACCTGGACTGAGTTAATGAAAGCAGCCCGAGGCTGAGTTAAGGTGGTTAACGGCTGGCTAACGGCGGCTAACCAATTTAGCTAAACGATGTTTAATATCGGTTAGCTGCGTGAAAACAGAAGTTTAATTAAGCTTTTTCAAAGGTTTTACAGCCACTGAACATGTTTTTAGTTGCTCCCCTTTTCTGGCTTTTTGTACCTGTAATTATGAATTTAAACATTTTCAATATAAAACAGCTAAAATTCACCCAATACTTCATTTAAATGCTTGAAACGTTCAGGAATGAGTCCTTTAACATGTATTCTGATGATGATGATGATGATGATGATGATGACTGCCATCATCATCATCTTCCTCCTCTGTCATCC